CCCACTTCTTATTAATACATGTGTATTTATATAGCTACGGAGGTAGTGTCAACTAGCTCCGCCCCTCGTTGGAGATGTGTTTATGAGTTTAACGCAAGAACTGCTGATGAATTGAGCTTGCAGCCCGGAGATTTGGTGAGTTTTGAACTTTATTTCTATAGTGATAAGGTTCATATTCATTTTTTTTCAATTCGTTTAATTCAAATTTTAGTCTCTTTTTCTTTCTACCCTTTTGTTAAGATGAAAGGATGGGAGGAAAAAGTGGATTTGACGGTGAAAGAAACACAAAGGGGAAATGACCTCTTTATGTGCGATTCCTCCTCTGTTAGTTAAGGGTAGGCAGAGCTGTAATTGCGGATGTCTTTGGGCAGCGGTCGCTTTCCATTTCGTTGGATTCAGGCCGCTTGTTTGTTTGACACCTTGTATTATAAAAATAAAAATATGCAATCTATTTTGAAGTCTTTGTCAAAAGGTATAAGTGTTATAGCCTTGTCTAAGACAAAAGACATTGCAAATTCAATTCTATGTTTAGAAGAATAAGGTTGACTACAAAAAAGACAGTTGTATACAATTTAAAAATCTATTTTCAACTCTCCTCTAATAGGGTTATGGTTGAAATTCCAATTTTTTAGCTCAATTACGATTGAATTTGATCTCTTTGTCTCTACGCATAATATTCTATTTTTGTTGTTGCATTTTGAGTCCTTTTGACATATGGATAAGGTTTATTTTAACATATAGGTAAGTGAGGCGACCGCGCCTAGGGCTGATGCCGAGCCTGGTTGGCGTTGGGGTACAGCCAGAGGTAAATATCACGCTATTATACTATTGGGATAGACAGAGTTTCATGTTGTAAATGTAAAAATGTACAATTAAAGGATTTTTTTGTTGTAATTGATGCATTTAGTCGCTTTTATAAGAAAAAACAAATCGAATTTAGAACTTTTAAGTCGGTTGAAAAGATAATCTTTTAAAAATAAAACTATTCCAATTATTTTAGATAAAGAATCTATTGAATTATGTTATTTTTTAATGTGAATTATACATGTTTTCTCTCTCGTTTTTGTAAAGGAATCTGTATTTAATTGCAGGCCAATCAGGGTGGTTCCCCGAGTCTTATGTTGAAGATATAAACGCAGCTGCCTCTTATGTAGAACCAATGGATACGATGGAAACTAAAACACAACTAGAAGGTTAGTTTTTAATAATTTTCTATAGCTTAATGACATCTTTGTTCTTGCTATCTCAATTATATGTATGCGAATGTTTTGTTTTGATGGTATACATTTGTCATCTCTGTTGAGATTGTATACATGTGTCATATCTCTTGATATTGTATACATTTGTCATATCTCTTGATATTGTATACATTTGTCATATCTCTTGATATTGTATACATTTGTCATCTCTCTGATAATGTATACATTTGTCATCTCTGTAGAGATTGTATACATTTGTCATAACTGCAGAGATAACAATATACAAATGTCATTACAGTTAGCAAACGTCAAATTACGCGAATTAAAAACAAACATGCTTCATAATAAGGCATATTGTAATATATTTTCAAGTGTAGATTACTAAAAAGATAACGTAATCCTATAAGAAAGTTAAAAATTGAGTACTTTAAAATTCTGATTTTTTTTCTCAAAACTATCTATGTAATTATGGTCCTTCGAGTTAGTTAAAAATCATTATTGTTTCATTTTGTTGTAATATTCTATTTACACGGTGGACCTATTTTATTACATTAGGTATAGCGGAAGTTCCTGAAGCGGAAATAACCAATGATTTAGGAGGCGCTATCCCTATAGTTGGTAAGTTTTGAAAAATCTATTTATATTTAAAACGATCAGTTTTTTTCTGAATTTTATTTTACTGTTCATGTAAGTGTTTTTTATTACTATATTGTCAGATTTCTTAATTTTAAACTTAGTAATTAAAAAGGTAAATATAAATACTTAACATTAGAAACAATGAAAAAACTCTGCTGTCTAAATTTTCGCCAAAAATGATACTTTAAACGAAAAAAAACAACGACACAGAGAAAAACTCCGCATTAGATCATTTTATTTTTGTAAAACTCAAATTCTTCATCATTCTTCGGTTCTACCTTCTAGAAGGAGGCGACTTCTATATCGCGGCATATCCTTACGTATCTTCTGAACCTGGAGACCTCACTTTCGAGGCAGGGGAGAGGATAGAAGTGTTGAGGAGAGATGGAGACTGGTGGACCGGCAGGATTGGGAACAGGTAAGAAGATGCTAGAAGATTACATATTTTATTAATAATTGATTTTTATTTTAAATTCACTGCGATACTAAAATTTGAAGACTTGAATTTACACCAATAGTCTAAATTTATGTTTTAAAAACCTAGGAGTTTTATCAAAATAATCAGTCAATAACAAGTAAACTGGGTTTAAATCTAGTTTTGGGGAAATATTCTATTTCTGTGTATTCTTCTTTGATTAAAATTAGGCAATTTTGCAAATGCTGATATGAATGTTAACTGTATGGACTATAGTTTCGATATTTCGGCGAATTTAGCCGCTGGTCCATCATCTTATGAGTAAAAAATTGGCTAAATTTGCTATTTGCTGAGTAAGGTGTATCCAATGTCTTATTTATTATATCTATGTATTTTTGTACGCATTGTAGGAATGGTATCTTCCCATCTAATTACGTAACAAAAGATACGATATCATCAAGTGAACCGATATCAACGATCCCTGAAGCAGCGGAGCCCGCCCTTGATACTGACGCCCCTGTTGACAATCAGCCCATTGACGCCCCGCCCATTGACAGCCAGCCCATTGACACCCAGCCCAAAGACGCCCCGCCCTTAGCGGCAGTCAATGATACTGACTTTGTACCTACATCTCCACCTGTACAAGTAAGTATATATTGACACTTGTATACATTTGTCATCTGTAGACATTGTATACATTTGTCATCTATAGACATTGTATACATTTGTCATCTATAGACATTGTATACATTTGTCATCTATAGACATTATACATTTGTCATCTATAGACATTGTATACATTTGTCATCTATAGACATTATACATTTGTCATCTGTAGACATTGTATACATTTGTCATCTGTAGAGATTTTATACATACTAATTTTGAATAATATATTGTATTGTTCATACTTCATACTATTATTATAAATGCGAAAGTTTAGATGGATGGATGTTTGTTAGTTTGTAGTCTAAACTGCTGAACGTATTTTGATGAAATTTGGTATAGATGTAGAGGATAGTCTGGAAGATCACTAAGGCTACCCACTTTTGATTTTTTTTAATCCCACGCGGACGAAGTCGCGATCGAAAGCTAGTACTAATATAAATATGAAAGTATATATTTTCGTGGATAAAAAATAGGGATTTAGAAATATACATTTTTTTAGAATTAAATTTACTATAATCGGATTCAATATATTTTAAAATCTTATTAAATGTTTGTTTCATACAAATGCTTATATTTCTAGATCTAATATCTAGATTCATGTTAGGTTACCTAATATGGGACATTGTTGATTGGGTTCCTTCTTAGGAGCAGAAATCTTCAACCCCTATATCATCGGAGGTAGCCGCGATCACGGAGTCGGCGGCGGCCGCGCCCTCCCCGCGCCCCTCCTCCGTCACCCGCAGGGACTCCGCCCGCGACTCCGGCCGGGACTCCGGCCGCGACTCCGTCACTGGTCGGAAAAAGAACGAAATAGCACAAGCTATCGCGTCATATACTGCTACGAGGTATAAAGAAGTTAATACTGTGTTTTAAAACAAAAGTGCTGCCATCTAGTTTTTTTTATTGGAATAAAGACCGAAAAAAATCTATTTTATACTATATTTAGAAGTCTTTGGTGTATACGATTTATCCGTCTCAAAGGACCAAAAGCTGAAATTAAAAATGTTTGTTTTCCTACACTTTAGTAATTTAATTAAAATTCTATTTATTTAATTAGTTTCCGTTTTGAAGCACAAATATCTTAATGTTTTTCCGACTCGAAGGACCATACCCATATTTGTATGTATGTAGCTCGGAGCAGCTGTCGCTGCAGAAGGGGCAGTTGCTAGTGGTCCGTAAGAAAGCGGACAGCGGCTGGTGGGAAGGGGAATTACAAGCTAAGGGAAGGAACAGGCAGGTTGGCTGGTTCCCTGCCAGCTATGTCAAGGTATATTGACGGCCCATTTTGCTTGATTTTTTTTAGTTTTTTTAAATAACCTATTATTCTTAGTAATATTATAAATGTGAAAATTTATAATTTATTATCTACAAAATATGTCACAGATGTAGAACATTCTAAAATAACGGATAATTAAGAAATTACTTTTTTTTACATTCAGCGTGAACGGAGTAGCGTGCAAAAGCTAGTAATATTGTTAATAAGTTTTGATTGCATTTAATACATTTCAAAACTACGGATCGCTTTATATTATCCCAAATGACAAAAGCTCTATTTTTTAATAGATTTTTTCACAAGAGCTAGTCTTATTTATTTAAATCAATAGGGTTTAGTAAAAAATGTTTTATAATTTAAGAGTTCTAGCTTAAATAGTAGTTTTTCTATTAACGACCTAAAAGTGTCATAGACCTTCACTTGTCTATGACATTTTCGGGTCTATAATGGTATGTTGAGAGTCATAGGGTATTCTTTCCCCAAGGTACTCCAATCGTCCGGCAGGACGTCCGGACGTACGACACCGGTGTTATCCAAAATGGATACAGTGCCATCGGAGACTGTCATCGATAAGGTCATAGCGTTGTATCCATACACAGCTCAGAATGCTGATGAGTTGAGTTTCGAGAAGGATGACATTATAGCTGTGACTGACAGGAGCCAGGATCCGGCGTGGTGGCAAGGTATGACACAAAGGTGGTAGATTACAACAAAGGTGACAGAATGACACAAAGGTGACAGAATGACACAAAGGTGACAGGATGACACAAAGGTGACAGATTGACACAAAGGTGACAGAATGACACAAAGGTGACAAAATGACACAAAGGTGACAGGATGACGCAAAGGTGACATGAACACAAAACTTATAGGTTTAAACAAAGGGTGAAATGTAGACTTAAAGGTGATAGGTTATAAGAAAGGTGACAGATTGACACAAAAAGGACAGTATGACGCAAAATGACAGGTTATAATAAATTTCACATGTTGAAACGAGTGATAAGTTGACACAAAGGTGACGTGACACAAAAGTGATAAATTGACACAGGTGACAGGTTGACCAAAAGGCGATAAGTGGCGCAGACGACTGAATTTAATGATTGTTGTGACACAAAAATGAGAGCTTATAACTCAAAAGTTCTGATATAAAATAAATAATTATGAAATTTTCCCTTTCAGGCGAACTTCGTGGTATGACAGGGCTCTTCCCAAGCAACTATGTCACCAAACTTGTTAATTAATTACATTTACATTAAAAAGTTCAAGTAGCTTCATTACTCTTACATACATACAAGAAAAATTACACTGTTTTCTCAAATTAATAATGACCATAACATATAATGAGAGTAAATAAATGTTTATTACTACTACAGCCGTACGTAATCGAATTGGATTTCGCTATTATTTCTGTCATCGCTAAATTCTCTACACTATAATCAATACTAGAATTGTCCTCTAAATTAGTTAATAAGAAAATAATAATTTTAGTTGAGTTTGATAATTATTTAAACCGAATATCGATAGTTCATAATTGCTGCGTGTTTCGTCACTACGATACCTGTATATTAAGTACGTTAGACTTCATACAAATTGAATTCGATACTTCATGCGTCATTTATCAAACTAATCTATCTTATTTAGACACATTAAGGGTGAGTTGCATCAAATCGCCGGTTATCGTAAAAGTTATAATAGGGTTACAAGTGCAAAAACATATTCTCACAGAGGTTTTA